TGAGGAAAGAGTCACGGCGAGAAAATAAGCAGCCGGTGTCAAAAGTCAAACATCCTGAGCGCTGGGCAATTAAGAGCTGTGAAAACAAGGAAATTAAGAGCCGAAGGAAACATGACAGTGAGACCACAGTGACTGGGTCATCGTGATACTAATTGTGTCATTTGTTCGAAAGACGACTTGGCCGCGGTGGATTGAGTGGGGGCTTAATGGACAGGAAGATTGGAATGTGTGGGACATTAAAAAAAGCCCACAAAGTACTGGAGGTTCAACAGGAAGCTCACGATTGGTGGATACAACATTAGATTGAGAGTGATAAGAACAGTGGCATCACCAGACTGACATCTTGGCCGTTTGGGTATATTGGGTGGGTACCAGCGTTCAAATTGCACCAGAGGTCTTTGGAGGTGGCAAACGTAACGGTCTGGGGGAGGGGGGGGTATCTGTTTGGGTTGGCATTGCCCACCTATAGCGTCGCCTCTGGATAGAGTTCATCTGTGTTGTACCAGTCCTGCATCCATCATCTTACAGGTATATTCTTAGCTCAGCTAAAATCACCACAATAAGCTCAGTCCTTCAGGTCTCCTATAAAAAAGTTCTTTCCAGAATTTCCTCACCAGCCCTGGCTCCTGACTTCCAGTTGACCACTGGCAATCTGAGCCGACCACGTCATCAGCAAGGCTAGAACAGCTTATTTGTACAGCACTTTCAATACCGGAGGCCATTCCAGGACAACATGGCGGAGTACGGCTCAATTTAATCACAATTTAAACAATATATTGAAGGAGAAATAAACTCTGCAATCAGTACAAATAAATTACATAAAATGTGCAAGAACATTTAAGTGAAAATTACGGTACTTAAGCTGAGAAACTAACAAAAGGTGAAGAGGTGTGTCTGTCTGTAGCTTCAAATTAAAAATGGCTGCAGTTGGGCCATGACAGATCTCCTGGGACTTCTCTTTCCCCGGTTTAAGGTAGCCTGGCAGCTAAATGGTGCTTCTCCCACTGGCTTGTGGGAGTTTTACTTACACAAAAATGTTCTGAGGGCAGGAGGAAAAATTACCCATCTTGGAAGCAATCAGACTGTAGAGGAGGTGAGTCCAAGCAACTACAGGACGCGGGACCGAGATTGATTGGTTGGTCCCACCTCCTCTACAATCTGATTGGTTATCTCTCGGAACCAATCATTGTTCCTTCTACCTTCAGAACATTAACTTCCTCTAAAACTTCCATGAGCACTTTACTGCACTATTGCACATCTGGTGTCTATCTGTGTATTGTAATTGGTTCTCTGCATGGGGCGTGGCTGAACACAGCCAATAAAATATCTTGAATCAAACCCCATTTGGAACCCACCTACTCCACCCTTAACCTGCAATGACACTCCAGCAAGGTCCCTCTTCTCATCTGCACATTTTAATTTCCCTATCAAACTTCTTAATGGCTGTTCATCAATGACCGATTAAAAGCAATTGTCTGTTGATAAATTAAGTTCCCTCATGCAATAGATTGACCACGAACACAGTGACTGCCTGCTACCAGCCATGGTAGCCTGTGGAGAAGGCATTCTGTAATGTGTCACAAAAAAATAATAAAACTGCATAATTTAACACATTGTCTTTTGGTGGACGTGGTATAGCAAATAATACACAATATTCGGCATAGTATAGATTTGTAATTTGCGTATTAAACAGACTAAGGACATATGCGCCCTCTTGAGGCAACTCAAGGTCCTCAAACTCACTACAGGACATCAAATAAAAAAATAATTAAAAAAAAACACTAGAATTCTGAGGCAACAATACCAACCACTGTGGCCCTCCCATACGCGGTATACGCTGAAACAACATCAAGTCAGTCTGTATTACATATAATCAGCCTTTAAAGTCCCTGTACCACCTCTTTGATGAAGAATTCAAGACTTTCTAGAGTCAACTCTCGGATTGTAAATTTAGAAAGTCACCAGGGGGCGCCATTACCTCACGCATCTCTCTAGTTAGGGGAGGATTAGCGCACAGGCGATTTAGTAAAATTATGGGGCCCGCGCTCGACAAAACAGGAGGCCCGCTCCACCTCGGGGAAAAAAAAGTAACTTTTACAGCCGGCAATCCCCCTCCCCTTCCCCCACATTATTGACGTTGTACCATTTTTAATTATATGTTCTCTTTCGGTTACAAAAATTTCTCAAGCAGCCCGCTTGGGGGACCTCCTAGCCGTCTCAGCCTAGGGCCCCCAGAGAAATCAATTCGTCCCTGCTGTGAAGCGGTAGAATCCCTCAATTCAATTGCATTAAACATCAAAACAGGACATGCCAGCAGAACATGCCAGAACAAACACACATATTAAGTCAGAATGATATATTGGTTCTAGAGATGCCTATAAGCAGACTTTTCTCCACTTGGGCTTGTGAGTGTGAGATTTGGGCAGGATGTGGCCGTGATCGTCCGCCTCGCTGCTTACTTGTCCTCATTTGACCCTCCAGCCAGGCGCCTACAGGCACAATCGGGCTCTAAACAATGGCGTGACTACGATTTATTACAAATTAAGCTAACGATTCTTGGAGGGTCCAAATTCGACGCTAAAAATGAATAATGAAGACACAGGGAAAACACTCCAGGGAATAATGGCGTAATTTAATATAGCCGTAGTAATGGTGTTAAGGGTACAAATTTGTGCATTAGAGTTACACTATTGGCTTTAAGCAGGCGAATTAAATAGGCTAAATTGGGAGGAGAGGCGGTGGAGAATGAAACATGGTAGAAAATGAAACACTGAAGACAGACAGTGAAACCACAATTGCTTTCTTTTGCCGGTAAGAAGGGTAACCTATTTTATCTCTGCAGCAAGCGAGAGCGGGGTGGATTTCGTCTGGAAATCTGTGAACCATTTGAAGAATCCCCACTCCCTTCCCCCGGGGGCTCACTAGCGCCGAAGACGATGCAGATTTTACCATCTCATCAAGCAAAGAGCTGCAGAAATGTTTACATTGAATCCATCGGACATCTAACTCAGTTCAGACGCTTGGTTTTGTTTCAAATTTACATAAACATAACACGCTACTGCGGTATGCTGGCGTCCGCCCAGGGTTGGTTCTTGCATGCGCCCGTAGCTCCCTGGATAGGCGCCGGGCTCCTGCGACCCCGGTGGGGATTAAGCGGTTACGATACTGGATGGATGGATGGATGGATAACACACACTATGCAACATAACATAAGGCAGAAAAACTGCATTCCTTAGTCGGCTGTCTCTCATTTTGTTAGCAACATAACTGAATTATTCTGTTGCTCATCTGTCCCCAACGCAGCTTAATAATTAACAAAACAATTAAGACCTCTGAGTTCAATCATTTATCTTAACTTTACGTAAGTAACTACACGTTATGTCCGTCATGATCATGGTGCTTTAACCTGATTCTAGGAAAGACGTCATCAAGCAAACAAATCAATATTAAATGGAAGGGCATGTAAGTGAGTGTATTGTCAGTAGGCTATATATAAGCGGTATAAAACTATTAAAACTTCGAATAGCCATTAAATATGTTTTCTCAGCTATTTTTCTAACATTGAGTTATGAATAGTGCGATATATATTTTTTTGCATAGTCAAACCAGAATGCTGACAAAATTACATCAAAACACATAAATCTCTTGTTATTTAGTTGTCCTTAACACATAAGCCACTGCAACCGGTTATACTGTACACTGCTTTGTAAAAAACAAATGGCACTGGCATTTAAATATATGGAAAAGCTAACAGGGCGACAGTAAATTATCGCTCAGCATGCTGCTACCTCGTGGCCAAGAATGAATAACGCAGAACTTCTTAAATAAGTTATTTTATCGCAATACTTAGTTTTGGCCGGGAGGGGGCAGCATGCCGAGAAAAGTATTTCTCACGGTTGTTTAACCTCTAAATAACGACACAATTTTAAATTACATCGTCTGCTCTTTTACCCACAACAGCGATAGGCCTACTCGCGTTTAAGTCGTGATGAAGGATGCATTTATACTAGCAGTAAAATATAATTTATTTTGCGTGTTTAAACAAAAATGTATATTTTGATGGGTTTTAGTCTTCGTTGGGGGAAAAAAAACAATCCACCTTGTACCAGTTATGTTATCATTTTTTGCTCGTAGTAAAACTTATCAAGAATGAATGCAGCGGCACTTCTAAGTGTCATGCATTCGCAAGATAGGCAACTGAATTCGTGATATTGCTGGACTATGATATTTTATTTTTCTCTTCAACAAGAGAAGATTAAATTTAAATGGCATTTATTGCACGTAGATCTCAATATACGAATATACGGCTTCACTATGCATGATTAACTAACTTAACGGTAAAGATATAGGCCTACTAGCCTATAAAACTTATGTCATTTGTGACTTGAGGTTTGCCTGAAGCGACATTTAACAGTAACTCATGTCTAAACGTAATATTTTCAAGATGGTATTACGTACGTTTATTCATAACGAATGAAGAAATAAATAAGGCCTACATTTCTTTGTCGTGGATATCTAAGGACAGAATTTGACTCTCCTGGTTATTTTTGTAGCCTATAAGGCTCGGTGACCGCGTGATTATAGAATACCAATACAGACAAATATGGATCGGTCAATAACAATCAGATTACCATGGATGCTGTAAATTAGGACTATTCGTCCTTGAATTATGAACACCTTAAGACAAGAAACTAACAATTAAGTGAATATACGCAATATAGGACCAACTATCCGAATAACCAGCCTCTAGGCTTTATGTTCAAATATCTGTATGGTTTGACATTATTCGACTTAAAAGTTTTTTTCCATTCACTTACAGCAATCACTTTGGTTGCACAGCAGGATTTAATGACATTGCATAATGCGCACCTTGGTTTAGCCAGGCGAGTATTAAGGGATTAGATAGATGTTGTACATGGACAAGGGGTACAGAAGAGAGGGAGTGGAGGGTAGAAAGAGAGGGAGAGAGACAACGAAAGAAAAAAGCGGGGGGTGGAGAGTAAAACTGGTTTAAACACGAGTGTGAGTCAATAAGACTCGCGCAGTGATGCGGGGAGGAAGCTCGCGTCCTTTGGAACTAAAGTGACACGGATTGCGACGGGGAAGTTTTTTTTATGTAAAACTCCTTCATTTATTTAAGACACTTACATATGATAAGGAAACCTGTTCTCGTTTCCAGGAATGTGTGGTTTGCATTATTTTCCCCATTACGTTTTTTATGGATTTCCAGTATTCATATGGTTTCACTGACAGATCGGGGTAGAGCTGACAGGTGAATTGTGTAGGTATCCAGACGCCGCCAGACGCCACTTTGCCTGCGTCGGACATGGGACCCTGTGCTGGGATCGGGGGGTACTTCACGGGAGGAATTGTGCAGCCCTGAATAACAGCTGGATCCGGCGACAACGTGAATGCAGGGACTGCGCTCCGTGAAGATGCGTTACAACCGCGGCTTCATCCTGCTGATTTTAAACGGGACAGCTTGCATAGTGAGTAAGAGCGCCGAGCTGTTCGTTTGATTTAGACCTGCACAGCATTATATCAGTTCGTTTTGTTTCCTTAATTGTATACCCAGACCATTGAGGCTTTTTAAATTATTGTGTTGTGGGTGTCGAACTGCTAATGCGTGCCGATCGCACGCATCTGCTGCACGCTGGCTACTGTACCCCTGTTAGGGACTTGATCACGGCTCCATCCTGTTTATGAAGACGAGCTTACAACGCGCTGTATTTTTCAGCAAGACTTGAAGGTTCAAAAGCCCTTACAGAAAAAATTGTCCATTTGTTATGCCGGAGTTCATGGGTGGTCGTGAGAGACCTCGCGGTTATTCAAGATATTAATTGCTGGATGAATAAGTTAAAGTGTCTAGTAAATTATTCCAGTTTTCCAATAACAAGAAACACAACTGTCGTGTTAATGTTATATACGGTCAGAGAATGGAAACGATGCATTTACTTCAGCCGGTGGTCATTAGTTCTCTGCAAATTGCAAATATGCCACATGGACAATCCTTAGAATTACGATTGATTTCAATTTGATAGCACCTCTTTTTCCATGCAATTGGTGTCCCTTAATCAAAATGTCATCGATTCCTATAGTTCAATTTACTCTCGGAATTAATTCTGGGGTAATCGGTTTGGTGTTTCGTGAGCAGGCAGTGAACACGCATAATATTCGCATTATTCTTTATTTTTAAAAACTGTTGTAAGTCATGCCGTGAAAAATTATCAAAACATACGATGCTTTATTTATCAGCACTGGATAGATCTGACAAACACGTTTCATAATTGAATCCCCTATCAGAGTTTTATTTCTGCATTGTACGATTTATAGGCTTATCATACAGATTAATTATCTTACAGTGTTACAATTGAATGATCAGATTAGGAATGTGCTTTTTGAATTTGTCATGGCTATAAGCAGGTGAATCCTTTAATTACAGCGAAGAGACGGAATGTCCCTAGATTCGCTGTAGCAAAAATTAATTACAATGACACGAGGATAATATCCTTTAGATTTAATTACAAAAGGCCCACAAGCAATTAAATCAAAGCACCGACACAAGCGACGCAATTTACATACAAATATAAACACATCATGACAGGGGCTAGAATTGGATCCATTTAAGTATATCTATGATTTATCTTTCATTCTAAGTAGGCTACAGTTAGGCTTCTAGTGTATAGAGCTGTCTTTGACATAAAATATTATGAAAGCAGTATATTGCACCGGACATGTGTCATTGATTCAATGCACAATTTTGGGATTATAACTTTCAGAAAACTTTAAAAACTGTTTTGCACATTCACTTAGAGAAGATTATTATTACCGACTTCTCGACCGCTTTCAAGTCGGGATCGTCAGGCATGCAGAGCCACTTTGAAGCGACACTAATGGTGATATTATTTTTCATGCTAGCGGTCTACCGGCGTACTTTCGCTACCTAACACGACTGGGAATCTCCCGGAGCGGGTTCCGCCGAATGCGCCTTCCAAGCCGGCCCTGATCTCCCAGTTACAGGGCCATTAATCGGTTGCCTCACAAAAAAAAACGAATTTAAGCAGGAGAAAAAATAAAATAATGTATCTTGAAAATATGCTGACGCATTAAAGTTACGAACTTTCCATATGCCAGATACGAGCATTTTAACATAAATTCTACGAGAAGGAAAATTAAAAAATATAAAACAGCCCCTCCGGCATAAACACCAGATAATAAATGAATGTACTGTCATTTCCAGCAAAAGCCCACAGGTGATGAATTCATTGCCGTTACTGCAGGTAGATTTGTTGATGATTCATGTACAGACCCACAATATCTCTGGGGGAAAAAAAAAAATATCTGTTGAGGCAGCACATATGGAGGTGAGAAACATTGGTGTCTGGATTAGGCAGCAAAAAGGAAGCTTAGAATTTGGGAAAACCTGAAGGGAGATGTGATCTGACACTCAGATTTAAGAAGATGATGGGGCGGGCTTCACACCTTGCCCTCGCGAAGCGTGCTTGTGAAGGATGAGGAGCCAGATGCCAGAAAATGTACAGAATTGGAAAATCCTGGGCCTGTGGATCAGGGCTACACAAGTCCTCAACCCACTGAGGGGCTCGTGGAGCAAGGATGAGGGCTGCAACAGCTCCTAGGAGAAGCCTGGCTGAACCTTAAAGTCCGACTCGCGGTTCCACAAAGGCGCTTGCCCGTAGCAGCTGCGGCGGGAGGGGAATCGATTCGGCGATCGATCTGCAAGGTCAGACAGGGCCTTTTTGCGGCTGAGAGACACCGAGTTTAACCTGATTTCACCGTGTCCCCTCTCTGAAGCTCTCTGCCCGCGCACCCACTCCAAGAATGCGTACACCTTGAACCATCTTCATGGTCAACGGGCTTGATTTGCCGCTGAGCTCAGGATGTACCCTAACCCACCTCCTCACAGGGGGAAAAAAAAAACAATTCGGATGAATCATTTCCATGTCAGCTATCCCCCGTGTGGCTTCTGTTACGCAGAAACACCACGAGGTTCCTCAAGCCGAACTATCGATCGTAAATGCTCCGTCGTGCAGAAGGCTGGGGTGCGTAACTGGTTAGCGGTCCAGCGCTCAGATGCTGCGACGGCTTGCCGTATCCCAGTCGCCCCAACGCTCATCCCGATTCTCGGCACGCGGAGGGCACGGCCGGACGGGGTTAGCGCTGAGGCATGTTCTGCTCATCCTGCCCCAGAAACGTGTGGAAAACATATTAACTTACTTCCTAACACAAACCTCCCCTGGATCAGAAACCCCAGGTATCTCCGCGGGCCTGACTGGAGTGTGATCACGCCTGGAGCAGAAAAGTCGCTCCAGGTACTGGGAGAATAAAGAAAAAGACAAAACAAGGCAGCAGCTGTGGAGATCTCTGATTGGATGAGGTGTTGTTTGATGCAGTACGTAGCCATCGCAGTGTAAGACATCCAGGCAATGTTGCGAATGCTGATTTCAGAAGGTCAACGCCTCCGTAATGCTCCCGTGTTACCATGTGTGCTCACTCACATTTTAAAAAAAACTGTTGCAGAATCTTTCTTCTCCTCTAAAATTGCTGTGACATCGTGTATCTAACACGTACCATGACTGTGCAACCACCCAGAAGTTCCTGACTTGTCTTCTGTGAATGAACAACGTTGCGCGCGGCTCAGTGTGTGGAGGATGCTGCGATCGGAAGGTCGTCGGTTCAAATCCCAAAGTTGGCAGAGTGATGTCAGAGTTGGGCCCTTAAACGCCAATTGTTCCAGGGGCTGACTCTGCTTTCTCAAGACAATGCATGTTGCTTGGGATAAAAGCAACTGTTAAAACAATCTGTTGAAGCAGGAACCCCCAAATAACACCCACAATGTCCCCTGGTCTGTATGGTATACACGTGTAGCTTACCTCGTGCCGGACTTCTCTGTCAATAAAACCTAGAGTAAACTCATAAGACTGAAATACCTCAGGTCAATTGTTTCCCTTTCCCTGGGAAATAAAAGAGCTGGCAGAGAAAAGGCAGGTCTTCCGTTGCTCATGCAGATCAGCAGGATCTGAAGGACCAAGGGATGGAAGGTGATAGTCTTGACCGTCACTGGGCTCCACACTGAGGTGATGTTGATTCCCTTCAAAATCAGGCATGAGGGGTCCTGGTATGCACTACAAGGGAGGTATTGTTGTCTCTTCAAAACCGGTTTGATAGCCCCTGAAAACATGGACTGCAGGTACAAGGGAGGTATTGTTGTCTTTGCAAAACTGGTTTGATAGCCCCTGAAAACATGGACTGCAGGTACAAGGGAGGTATTGTTGTCTTTGCAAAACTGTTTGATAGCCCCTGAAAACATGGACTGCAGGTACAAGGGAGGTAGTGTTGTTCCTTCAAAACCTGTTTGATAGCCCCTGAAAACATGGACTGCAGGTACAAAGCAGGTAGTGTTGTCTCTTCAAAACTGGTTTGATAGCCCCTGAAAACATGGACTGCAGCAGGTCATGCATGCATCTGAAAGTGCAGGGCTACACAGCATATCCTCACATCTTGTTTTAACATAGACAACTACTGGAGAGATTGGGTGGGGGGCCTAATGGTGAAATCGCTTTGCTGGCCCCAGGATTTGAACTGGTGACCTTCTGATCACAGACATAGCAGCCTAATCCAATGAGCCAGACATTGGCCCCATTTCAGGGGATGAGCACTAATATCACATCTCTCTGTAAGCTGGTAAGGACCCAACCCCACCCCACCCTATAACTTCTGTCTTCAAATTACCATGATATGCGAACTCCTCCAGACTGCAGCCGGGTCACAGGCGAGGATGGGTCACTGCTTTGAGCACCTTAAACAGCTTGTTACACAAGCTCTCTATCAGAGATACGGAAGAATCCATCTATCATGGACATCATGGATGTTTCACCTGGTGTGTTTGGGGGAGGGGGGGGGGCTGTCGGGCAGTTCAGCCTAACCGTTACTCATGAGCAGGCACCCCCCCCGCCCTTATTCTCCGCAGTCTGTCCTAACACATCCTCCACGTGGGAAGTGGGGTAACCGCTGACCCGTTTCGGCCCAATTTAAGTCAGGAGGCCAACGAGCGCGACACCACAGGGGGGATAACGAATCCAGCCTCACTCAGGCCTTGCCGAGGGCAGGCCCGGGGTGGTGTAGACCACCACGCACTCTCCAGCACGCCCCCTCAGGTCCTTAAATCATCCCATAAAATCTTAAGCACCTTCTTTCACCCAAAATGACTTTTTTTTTCCTCCTCTCTTTTTCAGCACCCCACCCCTCCGCCGCAGAATAATTAGTCAATGGGCAGCAATTCGCCAGCTCTAATCGCGTATTAAAGGCGAGATTCAGCAGCTGTGGGAGGATGGTGTCTGGCACTGGGGGGGGGGAGCGGCGAACATGTGTCATTTAAAGAGAGCTCGGGTCTTTAATTAAAAATTGATGTCATATTAGGGATGAGGTTTTCAATTAGGAAGATCGGCACTGCCAATTCAAGAAAGATGTCTAGCCGTCTACATTTTAAGGAGGATGATTCATTCTCTGTATTTCATTTCTTTTTAGTATCAATTTATTCCTATTCATTCATTCCAACCTCCATCCACCTTCCAAGCACGTATCCAGTACAAGGTCATGGTGATTCCTATTCAGTGTTTTAACAACGTCCAAACAACAAGCGATACACACTCAACATTTTATTTTGTACATATACGGTAGCCTTACGTTTTGTAATACTGTTACTTTTAAAAGGCTTTCAATCTGTGTGCATTTGGAAGAGTACCCCCCCCCCCAAACTCCACAAAGCCACAAAGAATTGTGCTTACATTACTCCCATTGGCCATTTCTCCTCGGGGTGAATATCATTGGACGAGCAGAAGTGAGTAACCTGCCCAATGAGATATGTACTATTGCTCTGGTCCAATCATATTCCTTCTTTGACAGTAGGGAAATGCTGATTGGGTGGTTTTAAGGGACATTTGCAGCCAATTGGCTGTAAGGGACCCATAGGAGTGACACCTTCTCATTTCTGACTTGTACCACTTATTCCTGTTTCAATTCCATCACGCTTGTAACCATCAACTCACTTTAATACGTTACAATCCCACCAAACCATTTTGTTGTCGGCTGCTGTGTAAATCTGGGTTATTGCTTTTTTTTGCCCACAAATATCCATTAAGGCCTGCTACAGTGATGCCAGAGCCACTTCTGCTTCACCGTGAGTGATGCCTCTAGGCTCCATCCGCCAGTTTATCACCCGGGTTCCCCAGCACTGACAGCCTGCCAACGAGATCCGCGTCAGAGGATCGGACTCTGCTCCCCACTCACCTGCACCGCCTCCCCCCTCCCATATAGCGAGACGCGGCTGCTCCCAGCCCCAGTTCCGCTCCAGTGCTCGCCTGCTTTTCCCATGGGAGGCTGGGAGGAGGCCGGGCAAAGGCATGGAGCTGATGGGCGAGATCCAGGAGCAGCCCAAACCTGCAAATTTTTTCATGGCAAAATAGGACCCTCACATTCCTGCCCTGCAGGGGTTGTTCCTGGGTTTTTTAAGGTGGAGGGCGGGTCATATGAGGAGTTCTAATTCATACAGAGGGGCAAACTTTATCATTAGCCAATGATATGATTTGAATTATTGATTGACAGGGGGAAGAGCCAATCAGCTTTCTGATTTACAGGGGGCATTAGGTGTTTATTCAAAATGTGTTCCCAGGGAGGGGGGGGGGGGGGGGGGGGGGCTGATGTGGCGAAAACTTTCAGCCCCCCCAATCATGAGACGAAACATCATGCTTGTCATTAGCGACGCGTTGCTTTGCACTAACGCCCGGGAAAAAGCACGTCTGAACAGCTTAGAATCAATACGCCTACTGCTTCCTACTTCTGAGTCATTAACGAATTGCAGACGGTCTCACAGGGAAAAACGCTGCAATCAGAATATTTTCCCTGAGGTACTGTGCCAAGCATGGCATTGCATCACCTGGCAAAAGCAGCAGAATCGGGTCTGCGTCCGGCACCTCCTGAGTCCGGGGGCTTCTTCTTTTGGACCTCAGCTCGGCAGCTTAATGGTGTCACCCCCCCCCCCCCCCCCCCCCCCCCCCCCCCCGCCCCGCCAGTGAATCTAATGAAGGCATTTCTCTTGAACCTTTGAACAAATCGCCGCACTTGGCCAGAGACATGCGTGTTGAGAACTGACACACAGGGTGTGAGAATAACAGCCAATGGATGTCTGGTCTAAGGCGCCTACACTGCTGTCAATAAAAGGTTCGGCCGAAGCCCCCCCCCCCTCCCCCTGCCAACAACATACCTTATGTATTTGTGAAGGTGGATTAGCTTCCGGCTCCATGAGGGGCCCAGACAGACCCAGAAAGCAAACCACTCAGCCTGCCTGCCTCCCACACAGGCCTCCGGTGCTCCTTTCAGACTCACAATGCAGCTCCTCCGCCTCCCGCCCTCCTCAGCGGCCCTCCACACTTCCCACGGCACAGAGCATCTACCACCTAATAGGTCATTAGCATTCAGTAATCCTCCATTACTCCCACTCTCCTTCTCTTCGCCGAGCGCAGGGGGTCGCCTTCCCCAGCTGTTTGAGCCGATCTTTCCACGAACAACCCGAGCTACGTCTTTTAAGAACTTCAGGTAGCTGAACTAATAAAGAAACGCAACGGTGGCTTGCGCTCGGTTACGTTCTTTCGCGTAGACTTATCAGACCTTCCTTTAAGACTTTACTAATCTATAAATCATTCTCAAGGGGGCTCCGTCCTCTCACAGAACACCGTAGAAATAGGCAGTAAGAGGCTTTACGTTATATTTTGGTATCTCTCCTGCCACTGTTTTTATTTACATTCTCCTACCCATTTTTGTCTCCAGCTGGCCCTTGGACCGGAAGACCCCTCTCCGAGCTTCAAAAGCTCCCCGAGCGAGCACTCCAAGTCGGTGGGAGTGTTGGACGGGCCCAGTCTCTCTCCGCTGAGCCGGTGGATGATGCACAGCAAGAGCCGGGCGGCCAACTCCACAACACTGGAGCTGCCGTACCGTGCGGCGGTGCCCCCGTCCAAGCAGGAATTCTGGGAGATGTTGGGTAGCGAGGCACAGCCGGATTCCACCGCCTCACGCACAAAACGCCGGCCCATCGTCAAGACGGGCAAGTTCAAGAAGATGTTTGGCTGGGGTGACTTCTACTCCAACATCAAGACGGTGCGTCTGAACCTGCTCATAACAGGCAAGATCGTGGACCATGGCAATGGCACATTCAGCGTCTACTTCCGACACAACTCTACGGGGCAGGGCAACATCTCCGTCAGCCTGGTGCCACCTGTCAAGGCCGTGGAGTTCGACCTGGAACGCCAGAGCGTGGTCTACCCCAAGGACTCCAAGATCTTCAACTGCCGGGTGGACTACGAGAAGGTGGACCGCAACAAGAAGACCTCGCTTTGCAACTACGACCCGTCCAAGACGTGCTTCCAGGAGCAGACGCAGAGTCACGTCTCCTGGATCTGTTCCAAGCCCTTCAAGGTCATCTGCATTTACATCTCCTTCTACAGTACGGACTACCGTTTGGTCCAGAAGGTCTGCCCAGACTACAACTACCATAATGAGATGCCCTACCTGCCCTCAGGTTAGAGACGGTGAAAAGCTCTGGCAGGGCGGGGCTACGAGTGGCCAGGAACAGCACAGCACCCGGAAGGGGAATTCTCTAAGAAAGGATTTCCACACCAGACCGAAGTCACATTCGATTTTACATTCTCATTTTATCCAGCATTATTTATTCATTCATATCAATTGACAAATAGCTACTTATTCCTCTAATTGTATTTTATTTCAACGACAGATTCTATTCTCCTCAGAAGTATTCTTTTGACTTTTTTGTATATTTTTTTACTCGATGTACGTACGGTTCGAGAAAAGCACCAACATACTTTAGAAGAAATGGGTAACCTTTTATAACAAGCGACGAAAGGAGATGCAGCCCACCC